TTCAACACAGGACCAGAGCCCCTCTGGTCTCTCTTCCAGAGCTTCTGGTCTTCATGACCAGAGCCTCTGGTTTCACTAACCAGACTTAGAATATAATTCGACATTCAGGACCAGAGCCCCTCTAGTCTCTCTTCCAGAGCTTCTGGTTTCACAACAAGAGCCTCTGGTTCCAAACCATACTTAGCAAATAATTCAACATCTAGGACCAGAGCCCCTCTGGTCTCTCTTCCAGAGCTTTTGGTTTCACGACCAGAGCCTCTGGTTCCAAATCATAAGAAAATAATTAATCCAGGACCAGAGCCCCTCTGGTCTCTCTTTTAGAGCTTCTGGTCTTCATGACTAGAGCCTCTGGTTGTACTAACCAGCACCTCTGACTCATATAATTTCTCAAAAATGGTCTTTAGATAAACCTTCAACCAATAAGACAGCCTTTTTCATAAAACGAGCAATTATAAAAAGTTCATGTTCGACCAGAGCCTCTGGTTTCTACTAACCAGAGCTTCTGGTTCCAAAGACATGACCAACCAGAGCCCCTCTGGTTTAACGTGAAAGTCAACCAGAGCTTCTCTGGTCTGTTTTTCATAAAGAGATTCTAAGTATAAAACTCTTTTTCTTAAAACTTCAAAAACATGATTTTGACATAGAAGCTCTTATCAAAAGATACAAAACCTTTAATCCAATTTAACATATATAGTAAAAACTTGCTCATCCTCCAAATCAAATACCAGAATCCTCTGGTCCAATATTGAGGACCAACCAGACTTGGAATATATTTSGACATTCAAAAACTAAAATCTGAGACATAAGGCTACTAAGGTTTTATAGAGGACCTAAAAACRAAGCCATTCATATAAAGAACTCGAAATTTGGTTGAGTATTTTACCTCCAATCGTCAATAGACGGAGCTTTTCGAACCCGAAATTCACCCTCCGATTTCTCCTTCGGCTCTCAACGAAAGTTTGGTTTTCTTGAAGCAAGAATGGAGAGCAAAGTGTAGTCTATATGTATACTGAAAGTTTTGTCRTAATAGTTGAATATTCAGACCAATAGGGAGCTTCAAA